TCTTCCCCATCATGGCGATTCCCTTGTTGGTACTCCCATTTCTCCAAGTGGTCCATGCGTATCTTGATTCTTCTTTTCCATTCTTTTCGGTCTAAGGCAAATTTAGGGGCTTCGGTCCAGTTGATTCCGGCCTCCTTGAGCAACTTCCTCCAGTAGAAAATGGTTTTCCGTTTGTAACCTGGTCGCTTCTGGATTTCCTCGAGGCTGCCCAGCCACCCTAACACCGCCATTTTAACCGTCCTTGCGTTGCTCATTCTTAATATGTGGCCTATCCGCTCTAATGTACGTTTCTCGATCTTCCATCTCAATGATCTTATGTCGTACATGTTCCGGATGTCCTGCATATTAACCCCCTCATAATGCATTTGTTTCAGCGGTGGACCCTTTTTATTACTCCAGAGATATCTATACCTTTTATCTATCCACGACTGAATATTATTGATCTCTTGGTTATACCACGGCCGAGTAGCGCAATCGAATAGGAGCCCACTTTCGACACATGCTTGCACCACTTGTGCTTGTTTCTTTCTGGGAAGTTTACTTTTCAGAAGTTGCGAGCGGCATTTTGCCCATAGGTATCCAGCTCGCTTTTTTCTATTCATTAGGTCTTTTTTTGGACCTAGCCAACAACCCAACATGCGTATTTCTTCTGCTTCTTCTGATCCAAATAAAGCCTTTTCTTCTTTGTCTGTGTTGTTCTTTTCCTCAAATTTCTCCATGACTTCTTTGATAATGTTAACGCCCTCTTCCAGCTCTCTTTGCTCGCCGATGATAGTGGTATCATCTGCGAACAAGGATATGGTTATGTTAACAGTTTGCGTCTCGCTGTTTGACTTTTCGATCTTGTTTATATCCGGTATATTGCTGCCTGGTATCCATCGCCATTTTATGCCCGTCTGTCCATGTTTCGCGTCTGATATCTTTTTCCGTTCATTCTCCGCTATGCGCATTACCACTTGGTGATAGATATTGAATAGACATGGCGATGTCGAGCAACCCTCCCTGAGACCCCGTTCTGGGATCCATTCCTCGCTATCTCCTTCCTTCCCTTTCACTTGGTAACTGGTTGCCTCGTGTAAATCTGCTAGGGATTCTAGGAAGGGTCCTTTCATCCCGTAGTTTCGCAGGATTTCCCAAAGAGCTGGTTTGTTCACTCTGGGATACGCTTTACGTAGGACCAAAAGCCTTGCTTCGGGGTGAGTATGTTCAATTTGAGGCAGGTTCCAGATTGCTCGCCTCTTCTTTAGATCGTCTGCGTCTTCTGTTATTCTGACCAGGATTTGTGTTGCATCCGCAGTCGACCTTCCGGTCCTGAAGCCGCTTTGATTGTCATCTAGAAGATTTAGGCGTTCTGTCCACTTTCTTAGTCTTTTGGACAGAATTCTTGCCAGGATCCTGCTGCCCATGGCCAATAGGCAGACTCCTCTATAGTTGTTTATATCATTTTTTCCGCCCTTCTTATGTAGGGGTACTATTTGTCCGTTTTTTAGGATTTCGTCCCATGTCGGGGCGCGGAATAAGAACATCTTTTTAACCATGGCCACTATTGCTGATTTAATATGTGGGCTGGCCAATTTGATGTACTTTATGCGGACATTGTCTTTTCCGGGCGCGGACTCCCTTATTTCACTGATGCAGTCCTGTATTTCCTTATCCGATGGGGTCTCATTTAGCAGGTTATTTTCTTCGATATACTTCTTTTCCGCTCTGTGATCCCCCATACGTGCAACAGTATCCATTAGAAGCTGAGGGCTGATTTCATATCGGTTTTTCGATACTCCTTCGAAGTGGGCTTTGAATTCATCAGTTGTGAGTGTTGTGCCAGTATCCGGTTTCCTATCTCTGCCGCCTAATTGGCGTAGTGTTCGGTACATGGTGCCCATATCTCCTTTGATGTTGGCCTGTTGGCATTCGTCTAGGATTTTATCCCACCATTCACGTTCTAGTTCTTTCAGCTTCCCCTTCATTTTAGCCCTTGCTTTCCTAAGGTTGTCCCTATTACGCAGTATATCTTGGAGTGGACGGTCTTGCTCTAAGGATTCGTTTCTATCCCTCACGGCCGAAGCTATGGAATTATGGAGCTGTGACAGCTCATCTTCGTGGCCGATCGTCCACGGATTCGCTATCTGCCTGGTTCTCTTTCCACATACCTTTAATGCAGCTTGCGTTAGCGCTGTCGCTATTTCGCTCCATGAGCTATCCTCGTCCACCTCCTTTGTCTCGGTCTCCTTTTGGAATTTTAGAGCTGTCTGCTCAGTACTCAATTTCTCCCAGTTTATTGCTGGTTTCCGTGCTACTCTTGTTGGTCTGGACCTCTTTGGGATTTTTAGGTGGAGGGATACCGGCTTGTGGTCCGATAGCGTTAGCTCTTCGGTAATTTGTATCCTTTTTGCATGCCTGTGCCTTTCTCCTCGCCTCATTATAAATCCGTCCAGCTCATACCATCTGCGGTGGCTGTGGTTAAACCAAGTTCCCCTTTTCCTAAGGTTAGAGAAAGAGTTTATCCATTGGAGATCGTGCGCTACACACCAATCGAGGAGGTCTCCTCCTGCTTCGGTTGTTGGCGTGGTTAGACCATACCTTCCATTTGTTTCACTGGCTCTCTCCCTTCCAATGTGAGCATTATGGTCCCCTCCAATTATTAATACCTTGGTCTTGGGGGTTCGGGCTACTTCATTTTCTAGGCAGTGTCTATATTCTTCTATTCCTTCGACCCCGTTACTCCAAAGTGGTTGGTAAACTGATATAATTTTCATACCATGTACCTCTATGGCGGTAGTGCGCTCCGAGAAACTTTTCTTTTGGCCTTCGCTGATCCAGGACTTGAGGGCCTCGCCACTGAGAACTATACCGCTACGTTGGGAGTGTATAACAGCTGTTTGTTCACTATCTTCACCTATCCATATCACTCCTTTCGATTTTGATCGAAGCTCTGATATTAAGATTATTTCCCATCTTTTGCCTTGTGCATACGTAATTACTCTCTTCAGTCGGTTTCTGTTTCTTTCGTGGACTGATAACCCTTGTAGGTTCCATGCAGTTACCGTAATACTCGGCTGTCCCTCGGGGGGAGTGGGTAATCTTCTTTGTCTTCTCTTCTGTCTGCGAGCTTCCCGGTGTTCTTCAGTGGGGCGTCTCATTTTTCCTCTCCTTGTTTTCTTCCCTTTGTCCGAGTCTTTTTGCCGCAGAAGATGTTGCGCGGGGTTTTCGCAACTGTCTATGCCCCTGGTTTCTTCTTCTTCAGGCTCCTGTCCGGGATGGAGGCAGGGACTCTTCGGTTCCTCTCTTTGCGGGAGCTCGTTTGTCAGTGTTGGGCCCTGCGCGGGGTTGTCGCAGGTATTTGTTCCCCTCGGTTCACCCTCTGCTGACTCCTGGTCGAGGTGGGGCCAGGGAGCTTGTTCCCTTGTGTCTGTTCCGTTTGCTTCCTTTGGCTCCTGCGCGGGGTTTTCGCAGGGTTTTTCTCCCCTCGTTTCAACCTCGGGAAACTCTCTGTTAGGGTTCGACAGAGCGGAACTGCATTTGGTGCACTCAAATGCATATCGGTTGGCTTTAGCTAGCTGTTGGATCTCTTGCCGGGATAGACCGCTACATCCTTGGTGTATCCATTGTTCGCACCATGTGCATTTCACGCTGTTGCTTGTTACTTTCTTCCTGCATTCTCCGCACAGCGTGGGTCCCGGATTCTTCTCAACGTCTCCGGCCCTCGTTATTAGCTGACCCAGATGGGCTAGTCCCGAGTCAGCGACAAAAAACCCGACACACTCGAACCTGGGGGAGGTTCTGGCCACAATGTTGTTGTAAGAGGTGCTCTGACTGGCTGGGTCTTCGCCACTCTGTTGGTATTCCGGGGGGTTTTGGGTCCTCGCCGTTCCCGGTGTGTTCCCTTCCGTTCCGAAAACCCTGTGTGTTCTTTGCCGCACAGATAACTCGTGCGTTTCCCGCTTGTTCAAAATGAACACTATCTTCTTCGTACACTATATTTTTATTTCAATGGTTCACGCGCCAAATCCGTCTTGGTGCCATAAAATCACTCTGACAACTGTTCAAAACAGGCTTAAAATTTTACGAGTGAAGCGAGCTCTCCTCCTGTGCTAGTTGAAATAACATTCCGAGTTAAATTAAGACAAAAAAAAAGAAATATATCAAATACAACCATCTAATACTTTTGAAAAATTAAAAAAAAAAACTTTCATTTTTTCTAGATCTCTAAAAAAGTATTCAGAAAAGAGAATAATTATCAGAGTTGAATAAAAAAACGCTTTGTAACGTATTAAAAATTTAGTTAACTTTGGCAGATTTAAGACTGAAATCTGATCATTTTGGAACGGTTATTGGAAACAAGACTGCTCGTATCAGGGCAAAGCCCTGAACGTTCTGACTGCCTTTTAAGGTCTATGGAGCAAAAAAAAAACATGCACAATAAAAATAAATGTAGAAAAATAAAATGAAAAAAAAAAGAAAATTAAAATTTGAGATTTTTTTTGAAAATCATCCCCCCACACGCCATAGAAAGTACAAGTGATAGATTTCGCTCCTAGTAACAAATAAATTATGGCAAATAAGCTTCCTTCAACCAATTTGGAACGATTTCTAGGACGGATTTAATGGCAAAATGGCAATCTTTAAACCCCCATAACTTTACAAAAAATGATCTTAGCTCAGGACCACAATACCTTTTGAAAAATATAAAAAGTTCCGTCAAAAATGGCTAGTTAAAAAGTCGAAATTTGTCTGAACAAAAAAACCCACCCCGAGCGCAAATATTCCGTTACTTTCATTACGAAAGTCGGAACAGCAACATATATAAGTCGGTCCAAGCTCTGATTTGCGGAACAAATTCAAGATACAGCGACAAAACTGTATCGTCAAGAGCAAGAGTTATTTTAATACGTATTTTAGGCCAGTTTAACACACGAAAGAGAAAAGGGAAATAATTTTACATGGTAACGAAAATTTGAACAGAAAGGGTAGAAAACAGTGGCAATTTAAGTATCTGTCACCTTGTGTTGGTCCAAAGCGTTGTACATCTTGATACATTTCTACATGTTCTAAAGCTTCCGCTTTCCTCAGAAGTCGGAACCCTCCAGGGTGACTTTTTTCAAAAACATTATTTATAACATACTCCTTCATAGCTTGATCTTCAGTCAGCCGCGCAAACACACGAATGGTCATATCTTTAATGCTGTCATGTACTGATTTTCTTTTTATTTTCCCCAAAATATCACCCGACCCTCGGATTATTTCAGACAAACCCCTTCTTAAATCCAATCGGCCTGCCTCTTCCATATCGGTAACAAAATGTGAAAACTTTTGATAATTTGCTCGGGGAGCTGGAGCTGTTGCAGATTGTGACGGTGGAAAACCAATCGTTGAACTAGGGGTAGCCTCTATTGATGCTTCAGTGTTTACAGTCCCAACTGATAGCGACTGATCCTCGTTCTCAAAATGGAATAGAGTCCTTTCGTCGATATTTTCAAGCAAATTTGCTAAATCTTCGGATGAAGTCCTCAGTAATTCGTTTCCAATACTGGAAAAGTCGCCTGTCATCGTCGCATTGAATTCTCCAGTTGAACTTTGATCTCCCATGGATTCATCTGATGCAGTCTCTACAAGAGTGCTGCTGTTCTCCAAATAATTCACACTATTCTGCGTAGCCACAGGAACGACATTTGACTGGATCACTGGCATTACTGCATAGCCTTCTTCATTGAAGTTATCATACATTAACATTGGCTGCGGTTGACCATGAGGACGATTAGGATGTTGAAAAGGTTGATGTTCCTGGTTATAATTTGTATGTGTAACAAAACTCTCATTCTCAGTTATTTCAAAGTTAGATGCGTAATCGTTTGAAGCTTGTTCTTGAGCCAAACTGGCATCATACGAAGTATGGGCATGATCTGGAAACATCATACCCATATTCGAGTTACCCAAATTTACGTTAAAATTATGCAGCGAGGCACCTTCCCTTTCCGGAAAGTTTTGTAAAGGAGTCCTCCCAACAAACTGATAAGTGTTCTCGTCGTTCGTTTTATTGATAAAAATCAAACGAGGCTCTGCTGCTTTTCCTCGTTTATCTTTCGGTGGGTTGCAACAATTGCGAAGATTTGCCTTCATGCGATCCTAATCAAGTAAGAACGCATTACAACTAAGTATTATTGCTGAGGAAAACATTGATACCAGAGCTATAACTGACTAAAAGCTGTTGTACCTTTTTCATTCAATTACGTTTTCTTTAAAAAGACTATTTATCCACAATGGAAAGGACTAAAATACGAGCTGTTCAGCTCATTAAGGAGAACCGCTGTTGTGCCCCTGTTTCAAAAACTACGAGCATTTTTTTGGTTATTCTTCTGGGCTGGGTAATGTTGACTCACCCGAAAGCAACGAGCCCGGATTATGGTGAGCCTCGAACATGCGACCTTTCGAATGAGTGGCGGAGAGAAATAACTTCGCCACCACTCCCTTCAAATTGTGGTTTCTGCTATCTAGCCTGCCTTAGCATAGTCACTTTATACCATTCCCCACAATCCAGGTTGAGTTATTTATTATTAGTGCAGCTCATTTTTTTGGAACTTAAGGTCTAGAACTTTCACGAAGTACCACTATTGCAGCTGAAGTCGTTCAGACTGTGGTAGACCTGAAGTTAGAGGTCAGGAGAGAGAGACCGTTCTCTTACAAGGTCATTGCCATGGTATGGGATCAATTTCACAATCTGACGATTTCAAAGAGAACGCGTTAACACTATACTCAGCTGTTACAAAAACAACCATACAACAACAAAAAAGCGCAGCGGAAATTCAGTTCATTTTTTGATAGGGCTCGAAATGTATGATCTTGTTCAAAAAAATTTCATAGTGGTACGATCATATAATGAAACGAAATCCTAAAAAGCTTATTATTTCAACCGCTCATGATTCCGTCTGAAATAACAACAAGGATATACTGTTGCTGTGTAAGGAAGCACAGAAGGATTTGACTAAATTGAATTAAGAAAAAGCAAAAACTGAAGCTGCATTTCAGCAACACAAGCGAGACAATAGCAAAAAGTTGCTCCAAAAAGGCAAAAACGAAATAAAATAAGAAAAAATCAAAAGGTAAAAAATCTTATAAAATAAAACTCGTACTATGAGCAGGCATCAAAACTCCGACCTGATCTAAGCCATGATCGTTGAAAATTTACTAAAACTAGCTACTAATAAAGCAGCTATTAAATTGCAAATGCTATGCAGCAAAAGAACCACCAAATAAAAAAAACTATTTCATTTTCCCAAATTTATTACTCCAACCTGTACATTAGGAGTCTCACGTCCTCACCCCGGTCGCCTGGAAGAAAAATAACACAACGGTCGCTTTGAGGAAAAAAACACAAGCCACCAATAAAGCCGCAACAGATGGTTGGACCTATACCAAAAATCACAAGATTGACCTAATGCTACCAAATCAACTTAGGTTGGCAAAAAATGTTGCTTCGCAGTATTAAACTAAACTTCGCAATCGGAATTTGAATTGTTTGTCTAAATTTCCGGTTACTTTTTCTAGAAACATAGCCGAAAGACAGCTGGAAAAAAGTTAATGAACGCAAAAAAATGATTTGTTTTTTGAAAAGTCTTTAACTTTCGAATTTCAAACGTAAAAAGATTATTGACCTAGAAGATTATTGCTTTCAAGAAAAATTTATAATTTACACTAATTTGATAAAAATTATTTTAATTCGAGAAAACTGGATCAAGAGGCAAAATTTTCATTCCGCTGAGAAATTTGAAATCCACTTTCACAATTAGAAGTCGATTCAGTTTTTCGTGACCTTTACTGTTTGCTGTCGATAGCGGGCTTTAATTTTTTGAACAAAGGAGATGAACGGATCTCAAGAAAAATTACAAGGCAAACCAAAAAATCTAAATTGAGCGTCAACAAACTTTTAGACTTTTTCCTGAAAAAAACGTCACGACTACGTTCGACTCCAAAAAATGCAAAAAAAAAGAATAACTATTTCAAAACGTGTTACAGTTGCAATAGAATTATACTTTCCAACAATCAAATTAAACCGAAAAAACATCAAATTTGGAACATTTTTAAATAAATCTAGCGTTTAACGAACCTCCAATGCTTCAAACAGATTATTGAAAGTGAAAATTGCTGATATATGAAATCTACTGAAACATCCTAGTTTGAACCCTCTTATTTTGTTGCGGGTCTCCTTCCCTACCTATACGCTACTGATCCATGATACCTTGAAGCTTAAGTGCTATTTGTAACATACTAGAATATACTAGTATGTGTTAATATCCTCTGCATTGGCTGTAATTAATAGCTGGTTATTGATCAAAATGAACCCTTCCAAATTGAGCGGATTTTCTCGCAACAATATTTACGTCGCAACAACATTTGCGTCGCAACAATATTTGCGATTTAGGTTGGAAAAAAGGGGCGATCATACTAAAACACAAACTTTGCTTGTGTAAACAAAATGCTTATAAATTATGCATTTAAAAATCTCTTAAGTATATTGATTTGGAAAATTTCTGAAAAGGGATTATAATCTTTAAATTGTTATATGGAACAAATAACTTTTTCCAGTTCAATTGATGTATTAAAAAAGCATCAACAGTGTCAACTTATTACTTAGCATATGTCCAAGCACATGTTATAAGGAGGCGAAAAAGAGCTTCGCATCACTTGCGGTAAAACGCAAGCGCAGGATTGCGAGATAGCCAAAAAAAACTAAACAAAAATAACATACCGACAAAAAATTGGGGCAAAATGGAAATAATTTCAGAAAAAAGTCGAAACTCACAGCCAACAGAAACAAACAGCCAACAGAAACAAACAACAATCTAGTATTTAGTAAGCGGCAATTAAGCCGAAAACAAATTGGTAGACGCCAAATGATCCCAAAACAACAAATGTCCGAAAAAATTGTTGTCATAAAAAATTTTTGAGCAACTGAGTTTTAGAATTTCGAAATCTTGCAACAGATACTACCTTATAAAATTTCAATAATTTTTTGCTTTTGAAGCGACACAAAATAAGGTAACTAAGCCAATAAAAAATACGCCGAAACCATTTAGACAGACAAAAACTTTTATGTGAAAAGAAAGAGGAAACAATACAACGAAGAAGTATTAATTTTACAAATAACAGGAGTAAGCCAAAAACACTTGCATCTACGATGAAAATTGCCGACAGCACAAAAAATACTCGATGTGGCTATTAAGCTGACAAAACATAAGCAGACAAACGAAAGACCGACAATTCAATTAACAATTAGATAAAAATCTTATTCATACTGAAAAAAAAAACAAGTCCTGCCGCTACTCGAACCCCAAAAAATTGAATGGATTCTTTCTGCATTTATCAAAAATTATGATTTGCTACTTTTATAAAAATTACAAAGTAAATACGATTTCTTTTTACTTTCGTTTCATTTAATATATGACCTTTCCACCTGAGTGAGCTTTTCTGAAGCATTTGCTTGACTTTTTCCTATAACCTATTTAAACGAATGCACCGAAAAAAATTACAGTGATGGTTTAAATTATCCCGACAAAACTTGTGTAATTATTTTAGAATGGTTTGAGCACAATAGGAAATGCGTAATTCTTAAACATGGCCAACAGACAAGTTGAAAAGAGTCAAACCACATCAAGTTTCGAATATCAATAAAGTAAACTAGCTTTGGTATAATCGAACTTGTTCAGCAAATTTAACAAATGACCGCTCCTCCTAAGTTAACTTTTTTGATTGAGCTTTTCAGAAGAAACTTTCAAAACAACATGGCATGAAATTTTTCTATAACCTATTTAATTAAATAAATGAAAAAATTACAGACCTGGTTTAAATTATCCGAACAAAACTTGAATAACATTTTGAGAATGGTTTGAGCACAGTAGGAAACGCTTAATTTTAAAACATGGCCAACCTACAGTACGAAGAGAGTAAAAACACTTCAACTTTCGACTTTCAAGTAACAAATCAATGGTCATAAAGCTCTTTGATTTTCAAGAAAAATTTATGATTGACACTTTTTTGATAAAATTAACGCAATTTGAGAAAACAAAATCAATAGGTACAATTTTTATTCCGCTGGGCAGTCCGGAAATTGAAATAAGATCGAAATTAAAGTCGATCACCTTTTTCGTGACCCTTACACTTTTGCTGTTCAAAAGTAGAGTTTGACGTCATTTTAACAAGAGAAATTAACTGAAACTTAAAATGCAGAGGCGAATTGGAGCTTCGCAACAATTGTAAAAATTATTTGAAAAAATTTGAAGTTTCAAACCTTTGTCTCGGACCATATTCATTTTAAAAAAAGCCTTCAAAAACGTTGAGAAAAATTTACCGAGCGGTAAAAATTGGATCGAACCCCGTAAAGCTGAAACAGAAACTGTTGTCATAAAAATTTTCCCTTATAAGCTTCTGAAATTCGAAGTTTTTACGACTAATCACTCCTGAAATACACAAAATCATAAGAAAAAATAAAGGGCCCCAGCTAAAGCTACAGTTACTTGTTTTATTTTTTGTTTGTTGTACTGATGCGGGATGAAATGAATAATTTCAAAAACTGCGCTTCACCCAAAACCTCAATTGTTTCTCAGCTTAAGTAAATGAGAAGAGCGAAATTGCTTGAGAAGTTGGTTTGTTCAAAGGACATAACTTTTGTCTTACAAAAATTTAAAAACCACTGCATCTACAGAAAAAACTCTCGCAACCGGTTCTTTCGATTGAACCCTCCATCGCAAAATTGATAGGATAGTTTTAAAGAAATGTCAAAACGTTTAAAAAATACGGTCAAAATTTCCAAAACTTGACTTTACGAAAGCCATATTCTTTCAATTGCAGAACAAGTTCGTGGCCGCTTAAGCAGAGAAGATTCCCAACACCGAGTTCCTCGACTGAACACTTAGCTAAGAAGTGGCAGGGTAAATAACAAAAAACTAGAAAAATTTCTTAAAAAAGGTCAAAGTTCAACATTTAAATTATTTTGAAGGCCATAACTTGTTCTTAAGCAACCAGTTGTTTCGATTAAACCCTTGATATCAGATTTGGCACGACAGTTTTCAACAAAAGTGGAAAAAAATTCAAAACACTGTCAACAAATCTCCAAAATAAGGGTTTTCCGCAGGTCATAACTTCTTGTCAAAATTGAGCGTCGCGATTTAGGCAGAGGAACTGCTCACAATTTGTTATTTCGATTCAGCCCAGATTTGTAAGATTAGTTTTCGAAAAGCAATCAAAAAGTTTCAAACAACGATATAAAAAATAAAATATATTTGACTTTGCCTAGGTGCATAAATTTAGCGTAGCTGCTTAAACAGGCGAGTTTCTCACACCTCGTTCTCTCCATTTCATCATAAAACCGCACATTTGGGAGTGTCAAAAACGTTCAAAAACGGTTTAAAAATACTTGACTTTTCCTGTGGCCATTCCTTTTTTTGTGTGAAGAAAATGGAGCCTAACCAATCATGCACGGGAGCTTCCCACAACTCGTTCTTTTGATTGAACACATAATCCCAGATTTAAAAAGTTAATTTTTGAGAAAACTTTCAAAAAAGCCACAAAATCAAAAATATGGCTTTTCTGAGGAAGATAACTTTTTGTGTAAAAACAATTGGCCTTAGCCGCTAATGCAGCGGAGCTCCCCACAACCGTTTCTCGCCAATGAACCCAAAATCTGAGATTTGGTTTGGTCGTTTTTGAGAAAATCCAAAAAATGGGTTGAGGAAAAAAAAAGAGACTAGTCATATATGCAAGTACACATTGAGTGCGCGGTCTGTTCATTGGAACCACATTTTAGGAAATCCTATAAGTAGTTTTTGGAAAAACCTAATATTTTTGAGAATAGTGAAATAAAAATTTATCAAACAGAAATTTAGCCTCGGAAACAGAGCAATTCAAGATGACTAAGCCCATATAACGTATTCCAAAAAGGTTTGAAAGAAGAAAATTGAGAAAAAAATGAACAAAAACTATTTAAAACCAAAGTTTTTTAAATTACAAAACATTTCTTATAGTATTAACTGTTTCGAATTAAAAAAACACTCTTTGGAAATTCTGCTGTTAAGAATACAAATTTAAAAAATGCAATCTGAAAAAAAACGGAAAATGAGCCGATGCAAATTAGGACAAACATCATGAATCGAAAAAAAAGAACTTTTTTCAATAAGATATTTGAAAAAAAAAACTATCCACCAACTACGATGAACTAAGAGGTAGTTTATTTGAACTTTCTACTGATGCAGTCACTTAAAAGTAACTGCAGCAGCTATTGAAAATAACAGCACTTGAAAAAAACTGCATATTTGAAAGAAAAGTTGTTTATGGGAAAAAAATTAAGTCCCCGATTAAAAGACACTTGCTCTTGCAAGTGTTATTATACTGCTAAGGCAGTCTATTGATTCAAAAATGCCACCAAAAAAAACTTTTATTTGCGACTTAACCTGGAAAAAAAATGCATCGTACTACCACACTACGCAACGCTCGAGTAAAACATAATAGATAGATAAAATAGATTTTTTTATGCATACACCTTGGCGGAAACTCATATTTCACAATATGGTTAAATAGTTAATTTCTCCGACATTTCAGAAAAATCGATTGATAAGCCACAAATAAGCACGAAAATGAGACCAGAAGACAAAATATTTAAACATTAGAATCCGAATTACCAAGGCTGATCTGGGATTTCTTATGGCCTCGAACAGGGTTACAATTCTTATTTAATTGTCTCAAATACTGTTCATGGTTGTGATAGGCAATTTACATAGGGAAATCCAGGTCTCAACACAAAGCATTCTTGAAACATTTAAGTTAATGTATGGAAAACTTATCACCCCAATTTAATCCAGAGTAGATGAAAATTTCCTATTTTGCAATATAAATTCGTACTTACTCTTGCGTCTCGGACACTTAGACAATCTCTGTCTCTAGCAACAACATTCTCTCTGTACAGCTGAAACGAACAAAGCTTTCCGCTACGAAAAGGAGAAATGCATAACACAATATTGTATAGACCACTGAGGATTTAAATCTTGATTTACTTACTTCAAAATGAGCGTTGTGCACCGGTTGATTCCTGTTACCTCTCATGTCCCCAATCTTGACAGTAAATATTCCCTTCTAAAAAAACTAAAGAAAATCAGAGCAGATGCCAAAAACAACAGTCGATTATTTAACAGCCATTAATAAACACATACATGTTGGTCCTTCCATTTGACTAACTCATGTTCGCAAACTTCACAGAACAAACATCTTCTCCCTTCAATGTGAAACAACTGGAATGTACAGCTACCTGAGTCGTGGTTCAACATTTCCTTCAAAAGTTCCAACAAATCCATTTTGGGCTGAGCATGCGCAACAGATCCCTCGTGCTCGGTCATTATTTACAACCTGAAAAAAAAAACATTTGAAAGCGAAAACGAGGCTACATCGATCCAATGAATATGTTTAAAGAACTGAAAATTATAATTAGGCAGGTCATAATCGAAAACACTCATAAGCATTGCGTTTGATTCAGTGACGACAAGAGGACTAATAAAAAAATTTGACTACAACGTACCACACATTTGATCGAAAAATTGTGCCATGAGCCTTCTTGTCAGCATAAAAACATAGAAACAACCTGTATGTAGTAACCTTTCAGTGCATGATTAAAAGCTGTTTAGCCGCCACGAACTATATAATTTTTACAAAGGAGACGCGACGCTGTTCTTCACACCACATCCGATACAGAAACATGTCAGAGTTTAAAAAATTCTGATCATGGCAAAAAAATTATACATTCAACTTTTGCTAATAATGAGAACAATTTCAACAAATCTTAATAAAAACAGGTTTCAATTTGATATCCGACTCATTTTCTATAACACTTCACTCATAGAGGCGCATTGATAAAAATCAATCCAGGCGAAGGAGTCAATTATAATTAGTTGATCAAGCACACGAACATAAAGCCCTTGAAACGCAAAAAAAATCAATTATAAAAATAAATTGAAACAAAATCATCTGCGCCTTACGGCAAAAATTAAAAAAACTGGAAAGAAAAAGGAAAACAAATAGATAAATAAGAAACAATACTAAATTGTTTAACAAAAAACACTTTTGCAATATATTGTTAGGAATTAAGAATATAGCAAGAAAATGATCTAATGACAAAAAAGTCGGTCTCTGCGCATGTAGCAGGTAAGGTTCCGACCACAGTTTAATTAGAAAAAGAATCCGGATGTGGGTGGTGTGGGATTTTCAATTAACAACATTCATTGTAGCCAAATGATTAATAATAACGAAAACAAAGAGATAAACGAAATTTTTTTTCTTCAAATTGAAGAAAATAATGAAAAAATAAAAACTCAGCCAAATTATTGCTACTTTGATTTTGAACAATCCACACATGCTCGTAAAATTACACAAACGGTTGAACGAAAAAATGATCTCATTTAGAAAAAAGAAAAAAATATTAGCTGAAAAAAGGCGGTTTAAAATGTAAGCTAGCCGAATCCAGCCAATTATAGTTCCTCGATGAGGATAAATGAGTAGCATCGCCAAAAGGACATTATTTCCTAAGAAAAAAATCAACGAACAAAACAAAATACCAAGAAAATCTGCGTTTTTTTGGCGTGCGTTCCCGTTCAAAATTAGTACGTTCAAAATTAGTTGGTCGACCGAAAATGGATGTCATAAAATAATAAATATCAAAGGGGGGACCCTTTGGTTGATGTTGAGGTCGAGTCCCTGAGGGGAGAGGTGTCCACCCCCTTTAAATCCGCCGCTACTTAATTTAAGTGAACTATATTTCTGCCTATGATCCGACCCTTGTTAATAAATATAGTCTTTTACGAAGTGGATAAATGATAATCACATTGAGAACCTCCAGCAAGGAAGAAGTAACCCTATGAACTAGTCGTTGTTTACGAGAAAAAATTCTGGAATTGAAGATCATCAAACACTGACCGCAAGTGTAAACATTGTATAAATCTATATGCTAGAGTGCTAGAGTGATAGAGAGACATCTCTGTCAATTTCAGGCTAATTTGAAATATAATAGACGTAATTTATAATAGTCTGATTTCCCGAGGCAATCTTCTGCAAAAAGGAACCAATAGGGATCACGTAAACCGGTTTGAAAAAATTAAATTCCATTGATTGATTCGGTTCGCAAAAGTTTTAAGTTTTTCTAGGCAAGCTGTTCAAACTACGACCCCATGAGAAAATTTAAGTTAAATTACGAAGCAAATAGGATGACGAAAAAGTTAAATTTTTCTTGGCATGCTTTTCCAGCTATGAGAACTTAGAGTTTTCTCAGCAAGTTATTCAAGCCATGAACTTTGATGAAGTTATTCAAGCCATGAAATTTTATAGACTGATTTGGTTCGGCGAAAAAAAATTGCACTCAAACCATGAAATTTTATAGACTGATTTGGTTAGGCGAAAAAAAATTGCAATCGCAACTAAAATGAAAGTTGTTTACAGCAAAAAAAAAATCAGTGATGTGGCAACTAAGCCGACCGTTTTTAATTTCCTTGATACTGAAAAAAAACAAGATCGGGCCACGAATCGAACCCCAGACCTTAGAGTACAAAGACAGCTGCTTTTTCTCCAGGCCAATGGGCAGCAATCTGGAACATGTTAAGAGAAGATAAGAAGAGACGCGAAAAGAATTGATTCAACTGATTTTGATAAGCTAGTTATCAACCGGAATAAAAATTTATATTCCAGTTTGATAACGCTTGCTTATCGCAAGCACAAAAGCTATCTCATGGAGCAAACCGTATGGCGAAATGTTAGTTTTTGTGTGCAAGCTATTCAAGCAAGGAGATACTTTAAGTTAATTCATAGAAAAAGTAGGCAAATCAAGAAATGAAACTTCAGAGAGAGAATCCGTCCGTGCGAAATCTGAATTTTTTAAGCAAGCTTTTGATGCTAAGAAACTTTGAACCTTTTTGTCGAATCGCCAGAAGTTAAAAGTTTTCTCAGCAAGCTATTCAAGTTATTTGATAACGAGAATTGGTTCGCAGAGCAACCGAACTTTTCTATTTAAGCTACTCAGCGAAAATCTTCGAAACATTTCTGGTTATTTCATAGATCGAATCTCTCCGCACGAAAACAAGTTTTTCTTGAGCAAGTCTTTAAAACATTGAAAGCTATAAAAGCGTTTCAAATTTTAAGTGATTTTAGACGGATCGGTTCGGGAACAATTTTAAGTTTCCTCCGCAAGCTATTTAAAACATGAAACTATGAAAGATTTCATATTATTTTAAAGACCAAATCGGTTCGGGAAACATAAGTGTTTTTTAAGCAAGCTATTCGTTAAAATTTTGTTAGGCAACTTAATCAAGCTACGGAACTTTGAGATACTTCATGTGAGTTATTTCATGAAGAAAATCGGACGGCGAAAAAATCAATTTTTCTATTGAAGTCAAACAGGCAATGAAATTTCAAAAAAGTTATGTTATTTCATAGAGCAAATCGCTCCGCGAAAATAACAAGTTTTGCTTAAGCAAGCTATTCAAGTATTTCATATAGAGAATCAGTTTGCAAAATTTAGTTTTCCTACGCAAGCTATTCATGTAAGGAAACTTTGGGATATTTAAAGTTATAACATAGAATTAATTCGTTTGCGAAAAATTGAAGTAGTTCTAAGCAGGCTATGAACTATAACAAGTAAATTCATAGGCCGAATCGGTTCGTGAAAAACTAAAATTTTCTTAGCAAGCTACTCAAGCTATGAAATCGGTTTGGGAAAAAAAAATCCAAGCAAGCAAGAAGGTAAGAAGAGAAGATAAGAAGAGACGCGAAAAGAATTGATTCAACTGATTTTGATAAGCTAGTTATCAACCGGAATAAAAGTCTTTATTCCAGTTTGATAACGCTTGCTTATCGCAAGCACAAAAGCTATCTCATGGAGCGAACCGTATGGTGAAATGTTAGTTTTTGTGTGCAAGCTATTCAAGCAAGGAGATACTTTAAGTTAATTCATAGAAAAAGTAGGCAAATCAAGAAATGAAACTTCAGAGAGAGAATCCGTCCGTGCGAAATCTGAGTTTTTTAAGCAAGCTTTTGATGCTAAGAAACTTTGAACCTTTTTGTCGAATCGCCAAAAGTTAAAAGTTTTCTCAGCAAGCTATTCAAGTTATTTGATAACGAGAATTGGTTCGCAGAGCAACCGAACTTTTCTATTTAAGCTACTCAGCGAAAATCTTCGAAACATTTCTGGTTATTTCATAGATCGAATCTCTCCGCACGAAAACAAGTTTTTCTTGAGCAAGTCTTTAAAACATTGAAAGATATAAAGGCGTTTCAAATTTTAAGTGATTTTAGACGGATCGGTTCGGGAACAGTTTTAAGTTTCCTCCGCAAGCTATTTAAAACATGAAACTTGGAAAGATTTCAAATTATTTTAAAGACCAAATCGGTTCGGGAAACATAAGTGTTTTTTTTAAGCAAGCTATTCGTTAAAATTTTGTTAGGCAACTTAATCAAGCTACGGAACTTTGAGATACTTCATGTGAGTTATTTCATGAAGAAAATCGGACGGCGAAAAAATCAATTTTTCTATTGAAGTCAAACAGGCAATGAAATTTCAAAAAAGTTATGTTATTTCATAGAGCAAATCGCTCCGCGAAAATATCAAATTTTGCTTAAGCAAGCTATTCAAGTATTTCATACAGAGAATCAGTTCGCAAAATTTAGTTTTCCTACGCAAGCTATTCATGTAAGGAAACTTTGGGATATTTAATGTTATAACATAGAATTAATTCGTTTGCGAAAAACTGAAGTAGTTCTAAGCAGGCTATGAACTATAACAAGTAAATTCATAGGCCGAATTGGTTCGTGAAAAACTAAAATTTTCTTAGCAAGCTACTCAAGCTATGAAATCGGTTTGAGAAAAAAATTCCAAGCAAGCAAGAAGGTAAGAAGAGAAGATAAGAAGAGACGCGAAAAGAATTGATTCAACTGATTTTGATAAGCTAGTTATCAACCGGAATAAAAGTCTTTATTCCAGTTTGATAACGCTTGCTTATCGCAAGCACAAAAGCTATCTCATGGAGCGAACCGTATGGTGAAATGTTAGTTTTTGTGTGCAAGCTATTCAAGCAAGGAGATACTTTAAGTTAATTCATAGAAAAAGTAGGCAAATCAAGAAATGAAACTTCAGAGAGAGAATCCGTCCGTGCGAAATCTGAGTTTTTTAAGCAAGCTTTTGATGCTAAGAAACTTTGAACCTTTTTGTCGAATCGCCAAAAGTTAAAAGTTTTCTCAGCAAGCTATTCAAGTTATTTGATAACGAGAATTGGTTCGCAGAGCAACCGAACTTTTCTATTTAAGCTACTCAGCGAAAATCTTCGAAACATTTCTGGTTATTTCATAGATCGAATCTCTCCGCACG